GAACCAGCTGTCGCCGATGTGGGGGTCTGGCCGTCGCCATGAGGAGCTTGGCCGCCAGCAGTCGCAGTCTGGATGGTAGTTGAAGGACCGCTCGAGGCAGGCGCAGGCGTAGCGACTTTGCCCTCAGTGGGAGCAGGCTTGTTGCCGTTGGACATGGCCATGCCGGCGCCGTTCTGTTGTGCGGCTTGGGGGTTCATCTGGCCTTGTTGGCGCTGCATTTGCTGTTGCCGTAGCATCTTCTGCTGTTGCTGAAACTGATTTTGCTTCTGCACCATGGTGAGAAGATTGCGCGCCTTGATGAACTCAGGATTGGTCTCGGGCACGCCTTGTTGCTTCATACGAGTGTAGCTCTAAAGACCGTGTTAATAAGCTTCTCGAGCAAAGGAAACTGCTCAAGGCGCAAGGGAACACGCGGTTAAGTGGCAGTACGTACCTGAAAGACCTGCTGAATCTGCTCGCGCGTAATGTTAGCGGCGAGCGGGCCCTGCCCAGGCATTTCTGGATTGGCTTGAACCGACGCCATGGTGGTGGTGGTTCAGTATAAATGTGGTGGTGCGCGGTGGATAGCCAAGATGCGAGATGTCGACTCTCGACGCGGTCGCGGGTCGAGGTAGGCAGCAGTCGCGCAATTATGAGGGAAAGACAGTCGCGGGAGGGATGGGGTGCGCGTGCAGCGATTCTATAACATTATCGTGCGGCGTCGTGGTGGTGGCGGCCGTTGTGTTGATGAAGCCGATGAAAGACCTTCGGGGGTGCGCCGTTGGCAGAGTCGCGTTGTGTGGTGAGGCTGAAGGGGGTGCGCGCAATTTCGGTGGGGGAGGTGGCAAAGGCGCGGGCGCGCTCTAAAAGCGTTGGAAACCGCTATACGCGTCGTGGACAGCGTGTTGCGGGGATATTGAGATGCGGGCGCAACTGGGAGTGATATCGGGAGTGGTGTTGAACGTCTGCTGCGGCGGGCTGGGACGTCCTCTAGCCTGGAGCGTTGTTGCGTCGCAATCGAGTTAGCGCCTTGGCAGTCATGTGATGGCTCAATTGGGGCTGTGGCCAATCAGCGCGTGGTGGGCGTCCTGCTGCGCTGCTTTCACTCCTCCTCGTTCGTCTTCATTCACGTTCACTGAAGCAGTGGTTGTGGGGTAGACAGATAAACAACGCGCTTGACGTGGACTAGTGCCGAATAAGCCACCGCATCGGAGGCGGAGGAACGAGTGGAGTGGGTGCCACGTCCACGACCCCTCTAAACCTGCTACCACAGTCCAGCGAACATCAAACCCCTCTCCCTTTCTTACCAGGCCTGTTCTCAATGTTAATTTCGGTCAGACATGCCCGAATCATGGACCGAGGCGCCTTGTCCTAACTTTACGCCTGCCTAGCAGCTCTATCAGCTAAAAAGGCCTTGGTGGTGAGAATTCTGGATTTGCGCTGAACGACGGTGTGAGGCTCCCGTCGCTCTGTTTAGCCATCCGCAACGACGTTCTATCGCATACACACATATACGAAAGGCCAGGCAACTGAAAACATCTCCTCTTCAATTTCTAGTGCCTGAAGGATTTTGCTTTTTGATCAGCGCATTCATCTAGTCCAAGCGTAATCATGTTGGCTCCAAGTTCAGACTGGGCAGGGTTCTGCGACCAGGGCAATCTAAAGATGCTACGATCTTGGCAAAGATGTCATTCAGCTACGGACTCGTCGCCAACTATGTACATATCGAGCCCATGTCAACTCTATTCGTTTCCAATATTTCCACGATCAAACCCAGTTCCTAGGTGAGTGTGGGTGCAGTCCAGTCAATGTACGTCGCAGCGTCTGCACCAGACGGGCCCTTCTCGATGTTGGCCGTGTTCGAGGTCTGGTTGAGCAAGAATTTGTTGATGAACGCAGTAAGATCAGTCTGCTGGTTGGATGGGAACGAACAGTGGTTATGGTTGCCAGAGCCAGTGAATCCCATGTTGTCTGGCACACCGAGAGCCTTGTAGATGAGGCGACCAGCCTTCATACAAGCAGTAGTAGAGACGGGACCGAGCCAGTCAATCTCGTTCTCGATGACCAGCAGGCCACGAGGAGCAACCATACCAGCGAGTTGATGATGGTCGGTAGCGAGGGTGTTGGACTTGGTGCTGAAGGAGTTGAACCTTGTGGAGAACCAGACATTTTCGCCGACGATCTGGCTGGAGGTCTGGATGTTCTTCCCCTTGGCTTTCTCAGAGTCGGAGATGCGCCAGCAGGCGGCACCACCAGAGCCAGACTCCTGGGGCAGACCCAGAGCGATACGGTCAACGAGCGCGGCCGCGACGAAAGCACCCTTTCCGTTGCGAGAACATCCAGTCACACCAACGCGCTTGGGGTCGATGCCAACGCTAGGAGTGGCCTCAAGAGCATCGATGATGCGGTCGACACCCCATGCCCAGGCGGTGAGAGCACCAGCACTGTGGCTGGAACCGTACAGGTCGAAGAACTTGCCTTTGCCACGGCTGTTGCCACCCTGTTGCTGAGCGATATCGTCGTTGTTGAAAGTGATTGTCGCGACATTGCTCGGGACTGGGAGACTAGCAGCACCATATGCGATGATGGCAGGGAAAGGGCCAGTTCCGCTGGGCTTCTTAATGGAGACCGAGAAGGAAACCGACTTTCCTCCCTCAGTCGAGGTGATGGAAAGAGAGGAGCCAGAGAAGGTGGCCGTGACGCTTGATGGTTTCTTGGGAAAGTCACCGAGCTCTTGTGCCTGCATGGCAGCGCTGACCTCCTTGTTCTTGCATGCGAAATCGGCTTTCGTAGTAACAGCCCTTCCGTCGAAGAACTTGAAGGGGTTCGGCAACTTGGAGTTGGCGGTGGAAGGAAAGGTCGTTGGGACAGTGCATGTCGCGTCCTGGCGTTTCTCCGTAGCCGGTGCCGCAAGGACGGTCGTAGCGAGGAGCGGGAGGACGAGTGAGTATTTCATGGTGGGCGATTCGGTGATATTGTAAGCCTTATGGACCAACACTAATGATTGCTGGCGGGTTGTCGTCTCTTATGTAGTGACGATGACCTCCACAAGCATTCCGTGTTCCTGCGGGGAAATATAGCCACTATATGAATGCATGAGTATGACAAAGTGAGCTTCGTAGCGTGACTGCTCTGCAATAAAGGCAACACGTCTTGGCGCCTGCTGGTCTCCTTCATGCTCGCCACGCGCTTGAGGAGCAGGGGTTATCATAGCAGGGTGTCATGATTGCTACATTTGCGAGACCCATTTCTAGTGTAAGTGCTAGAGGCTATTCAGTAGAGACTCGTGTAGGATGATATACTGCATTTTCGTATTATGCCATTGATACAGTCTGGCATGCGAATGTTGGATACACAATGTTTCCCATGTAACTCATGCAAGCATCTACGGTATTGCCTTCAGCAAGTAGCACAACCTTTCCATGCATCGACAGCTCATTGATGGGAAAATTAGTCGTCATCTGTATAGTCAGTGTCATCGATTGGAGTGCGAAAGTTCCCTTGAGCCGCGAGGAGACCGCCTCGCACTATAACACCCATGACCTGCCGTGTCTCCCAAAACGAGAAGTGACCACCTGAACATTGTTCAAATCCGGGTATTGTAGACTCATATGGGCATGGCGCAGTGAAGCGGATGCCATGCCAGGACGTCGAAATGGACCTCGTCACAACGTGAGAGTCGATTGGACGCAAGAAGACGTATGCACTCTAGAAGCCCTGGCTCGACCATTGAATGGAAATTAATACCGCCATCGCGGATTTCTGTGCTTCCCCACGTTGCGGGGTGCAGTGGGGCTCTTTCTGAAGTGCCGTTTAGCCTGTGCGTCGGCCATGCAAGATCACCCGGCAGTATATGATCGACATTGATTCCACTATGTGTAGACCTCTGATCAGTAATCCATGGAGACATGTTGTTACTTGTATCTTCAACATCCTGCTCAGAGGTCCCTCCGTGGGCTCAACAAGTAAGAGAACTGCGACCTATGCATCCAAGTATCAGCGTGGAAGGGCCCTTAGGAGACGCGGGATGAATTGTCGCGCGCGCTTCATTGTTATTTGCAGTTCTGGCTGTGCCAAAGTTCTGCGACACCCGCTGCTGTCGCGTTTGCTCTAGTACTGGAGGAGCCCATGCCCCTAGTATCGCAAAATGCATAAAACGGCTATGAGTCTCGCATGTCAGAGAGACTTCCAAGGTGGTGATCGTTGTTGCTGTTAGCGAGAGGTGAGATCGAAAAGCTACATTGTCTCCGAGCTCTTTCTCTAGCCTAGTAGGTTGTGTGGCGTTGTCTTGATGTCGCGTTTACCTATGGGAATCAGCTTACGCATGGATGCGCAGCGTATAGGAACGAGAGACGGTTCCAAGTTCAGGGAGAACGAGTTCTGGTGATGGTGATAAAAGTTCAAAATAGCAACGTGGAAGGAGCCCTGAAGCAGCGGGAAAGACCCGTAGTCGCCGCTTGCCAGAAACCCTGGCGCTAGTGATCGCGGCTTCGGCACCCCTCCTGCGGCCTCACGGGTGTTTCAGCAGCGTCCACGAAATCTTGAGGAAAGTTATAAAACCGAACAGCGCTGCGCAACAGTATCAGGTGTGTGTGTGTTCGTCATATTCTCGTCATCTCAGATCAAAAGAGAAGGAAGTAAAGGTGAAGTCTGACTGGCTACTTCCAAAGCAAGTGTAGATTTCAAAGCAGTCCACCGCTCATTGGCCAATCGCCTCTACCCACCCCATAACCGTACATATGAAGAGAGCTCTCCCATCTCCAACGGTCGATACTTTCAAGTCGGCCAAAATGTCAAGCGAGCGGCAAGCAGCGGATGCTATCCGGTTCTACGACTCGAAATCCTGGGATTACGACGCTACCTGGCACAACGATTTCACCAGGCGATTCATCTCCTATCTCGATATCCAACCGGGGCAACAAGTACTGGATCTGGCATGTGGCACCGGGCTGTTGACATTCCGCGAGGCAGAGGCGGTAGGACCACAAGGGCATGTCATCGGAGTTGATGTCACCCCTGGTATGCTCGCGGTCGCTACTCACAGAAAGACCCAAGGAGGGGACAAATACGCAAACACAACTTTCCTTCAAGGCGACGTCCTGCATTTAGAAGAGACGGAAGCACTCAGAGGAAAGCAATTTGACGTCATCACAGTGGCTTCTGCTCTGGTCTTGTTTCCCGATCCAAAAGCTGCTATTGAGCATTGGGCAGGGTTCCTGAAGCCTGGAGGCATCATTGCCATGGATGCGACACATCCAAGAAACCTGGTCTCCGGCATGGTGCTTGAGAGGGTCGCACGCAGACTGGAACTTCCCATTCCATACAATCGATCGTGGAGTAAATCAGAGGACACACTGAAGCAGATGCTGGAGTCTGCAGGCGTAGAGGTAGATCAAGTTGTTACCGTAGAGAGTCAAGCAGGATACGGCCGACGTACTTATGAGATGGAGCAGTGGGACGATTTCTTCGTCGAAAATGTGATTGTCAAGGACGTTGCGAGAACGTTTGCGAACAATGACATTCGAAGGAAAGCGCAAAAGATCTACAAGGAAGAGTGGGAGAAGTTGGCGATAGATGGAAAGATTGAAGAGATTGACTCGGTCTTCCTCGGTATTGCGCGGAGACGTAAGTGGCCTAAAGAGCTGAACCAGACAATACTAACATGCCAGCTAGCTGCGGACGGGTCGAGATATGAGCCACAAGTCATACAAGATGACGTTGTCTTCAAAGGTGGATGTCGCTGCGGTGGCGTGCAATACACGTCGAGCGCCGCGCCTTCAGACATCACACTGTGCCATTGTCGCGCATGTCAGCAAGTCTCAGGCTCTGGCTTTCTGCCCTTTACACACGTTCCCAAAGACAGCATCTCATTCACCTATGCGGACACGCGCACAGTCCTAAGACTATCGGCCGTTGCGGAACGTACCTTTTGCACGGGCTGCGGAGCTCCGATCTCTATGTCATATCCCTCCGATCCCGACGGTCTAGGGTTGTGCATGGCAACGGTCGATCTGGAGACCCTTAAGACGGAAGTGGCACCCAAAGTGGTGAAGCATATATTCCTGCGAGAAAAGGCGCCCTGGGTGGTACTTCCCGAAGATGGAACGGAGCGGTGGGGCACGTCAGAAGACGCGCACCTGCTCGCGCAGAGCTAGACGGTTCGAATACAAGTGTAGCTACAAGAACATGCGGTGAACTTTTAAGGGTACGTGATTATTCGGTGTGAAGATTTGTGGGGTAAGTGCAGTGGGCGAGTGGGAGTACCTCCACTGATGGGAGACAGATGTGTGATGCCGCAATTACAGGATGCCGCGACCAGTGTCTCAGTCGCTGAATGTCCTGTTGTTGAGTGAGCGTCTTCAGATAGGCCTTCCCTGCTCATTTCAACGCGTACTGGGCCGTGCGCTAACTGTTGCACGATGAAATGTTTCGAAACGCGAACGCAGACCGAACGGCTTGCAAACAGGGACGAAGGCAGCTTACAGGCTGTCTTGCATTAGAGCATTCTGGCTGGCAAGGCGTCATTGGACTCTCTAAGCGACAGCTACGTGTTGCGGTGTGCGTTGCGTACGTGATGGGGCGAGCTAGCCCTCCCAGCCTCACAAAATCTAGTTCCCTGCCACGCTGTTTCCTGCCAACCACGCGAAACAGCCCTCGAGGACAAAACCTCGCCCTTTGCTCACGAAACATTGAACCCTCTTTTTGCTCTCTGGTACACTATACCGGCAGTGACACATTTTACTGCGTCTCTTACCACTTCTACCGCCAAACATCCGTTGACCGCCGCTTTACCTTCCCACGACTCTCGTTCCGCCTTGTTATCGATAGATTGACAGTGTTGGCCGGGTTACCCTCAACACAACTAGCAGCAGCATTGAAACCGTTGCTTTCGCGTTTCATACGTAAACATCCATCTGCTCGACGATCCTTGGGCGACTGACGCATTCCTCGCCCGCTGACCAGCGTGCCTTCTTGCAATCCCGGCACCGGACGTCCTTTAGCGGCTGTAGTTTGGAATGAGCCGCAACGCCCCTCACAACGTGGAGCTCCAACAGCCGCCTCAGGCCCCTTATGCGACGCACCGCTCGAACCACAGTCGAAAAATCTCGAGTCCCGTGGTCGGCGATCAAGTGCACAGCTTCGACGACGTGGACATTACCGGCCTTCAACCACCTCCTTCCGCTTTAACACCCACTACTGCAACGGCATATGACCCACATGCACCTTCCCCACTAGAAGACTTCCCTCGATCTGGCCGAACACATCAGCGGACATTGACTGGTACCATCTTCGACAACTTCAATCGCGCAACATCGACAATCCAGCAACATACTTCAAGAGCATCTTCACCTACAAAGTCCTTGGCAAGCTTCATCCCCTCCAGAGGCGCTATCGAGTCCAGCGCTAGCCAGCCTAAGATTAGGGCACTCCAAAACTGGTTCAACGGCTCCTCTGCACCCGTGACGCTGGGTGTCGGACAGCAAGACGAATACTCGGATTCTGGTTCGGAGTCGGGAGAGGAATACGACTCTGAGTCTGAGGAGGAGGAAGAGCAGAGAGGCAGCAACATGATGACCAACCTCTTCAACCGCGGCTCTTCCCTTACGAGGGGCACATCGCAGAGCCCGAGACGATCAGACGACACCCAGACCCCGAGCAAGGCCCCGAGCCAGCCCACCACTAGCAGCAAGTTCGCATGGCTGCTGTCCACACAAAAGAACGCCGCTGTACCCCCTCCGCAGCAGTCTCCCACATACCACAACCCCGACGATGAGCTCCTCAACTTGAGCATCTCGCAGTCGCTCTTCCCACACGGACCTGCCGATCCACTGGCGCCCTCGTCCTTCCACGACCTCCTCACCAACGCCGAAGCGCTCCTCTCTCGCTACCAGACCGCATACCGCCAACTCTCTACCGCGTTGGGAGATGCCCATGCCGAACAAAGTGCGCAGGACGATGAGCTTGACGAGGCCGAGACACGAGCAAGGCATTTGAAGATGCAGCTAGAGACAATGGCGGCAAAGGCAGCTGAGCAAGACGAGCAGATGCGAAGCCTCATGGAGGACCTTGCGTTTGAGCGTAAAGCCCGTCAAGAGGAAGAGGCGGCTCGTAAGAGGAGTCTAGCCCTTATCAGAGGAGCACCTCAGTGCGACCACGCCCCATGCCAGGAGAACGCCCGCCGCCACAACCGCGTGTCCGGCTCGGAGATCAGCGTCGATTCCGGCTTCGAGTCTGAAGCCGAGACCGATGCCGCCAGCGTCTTCTCAAGAAGCTGCCTCAGCCCCACCGGTACCGACCGCTCCTCCATTCTCGACACCGACATCCACGACATCACACCCAAGGGACGCAAGCCGCAACCCTTGAAACGCGGAAGCACTTACGAGCAGAGGCAAGAGGGCAAAGTCGACATCGCGAAAGGCGGATGGGGATGCGCCAACTGCCAGGGTGGTGCACAATCCGCTGTTTGGGGTCGTCTGGCAAAGGAGCGAGAGGAGAACCGCTCGCTCAGACTGAGGGTCGAGACCCTGGAGGAGGCTGTTGACGGTGCTCTCAATGCCGTCGCTGGCGCTTGGGGCGTGTAAATACCCGTGTACAAACATACATGACTTTGGAGTATATTGGCGTTTGGTATACCACTGCTTGACGATTGGATGACTATCAGATTGGTTTAGTCTTTTGAAAGATGCAGCGCATCGTAGTATAGTATAGCATGAATCACGCTTTACCTTTTCGTAACCATCAAGGCAATGATGCAAGAGTGCAGTATACATTGAATATGCTCCATACATCCAACTAACAAGTAACAAAACCCCCCTCAGCACCACTAGAGCTTCTGCTCCCCACCACAACAACCCTTCTCCTTCTCCACCAGCACACTCGCAGTATTCTTCGTACTCGGCACATCAATCGCCGGGTTCCTCTCAAAGAAATCACTCGGCTTGAAATGCACCTGGTAAATCTCCACCGGCATAACAGGCCAATCCTCCACCCGCGGGTTGTGCGTCAGTCCAAACACATTCCAAACCACCAAATCCTCGTTCTCAACACCGTCTTTGCGGGCCGCCATATCGTGCACACCTCCCTCCTCCAACTGACTCTGCATCGTAAACCGTCCTGCAGCATACAGCTCGTCGTCCTGGTACTTGGTCACCCAGACATGGTGGTTCGTGAAGAGTGCGCGCTGCGCTTGAATGCTACCCGGTGCGGCGAGTATCTTCTGCGTGGGCAGCGGCGCGAATTTGTAACCAACGGGGTTCCCTGATTTGGGGTTTGTCTTGGACGGGTTTATTATCTTGAACACACGGTGGTCGAAGGGATTTGCGTCTACGCCGCCGGATTTGTCGACGACGGTTTTGCGGATCTCGTAGAAGTTGCCGGCGGGGTTTGTGGTTGCGTTGATGGGGGTTGAGTGCGATTCTTCGTATACGACGGTGTTTTTGTGGCCGTCGATTGCGGGGTCGAAACCTGTTGGGGAGTTGGTGGTTAGTGGGATGGGTGGATGTGTTGAGGGAGGATGGGGACGTACGGGCTGCGAAGATGTGTTGGTGGTTTTGGGCGAGGACGCCGCCTGAGACTACGTTTCCGTAGTCGGAGGTCTTGCCTGGGTCGATGTTTACGACGGAGACGATGCCGGTGGCGCGGACTTCGAGGGTTATGCCGCCGGCGGTGTCGAGCTTGTAGGCGAAGACGTATTCGTAGTTTGCGAGGGTGATGATGAATTGGATGACAAGTTCGCGTAGTCGGGTGACTACTGCACGGCCAGTCCGCCAGTTGGCTGGATTGGTGGGTTAGTCTGGGATGAGAAGTTGGGATGGGTATACATACTGTGCTTCCAGCCAATACCGTTGTCTTGCTCGTGAAGACAGACTACGTTGGGATGAACCTTTGGTTCGCCATCGTTACCAACGACGACGGCGTCGAAGTACTTGATCACACCGAGGCAGTCACAGCCCAAGGAAAGGTTGTTGGCACAGTTGCCAGCGCCTCCGTCACCGAAGTCGAAAGCTTGCTTGCGGTGGAATGGTGGACGAGCATCAGCATACGGGACCGACATCTCTGAGATGCTCATCCGGTACATGATACTCCTGCCATCGTACTTGACGTCGTGCAGCACGGCTCCTTCACGGGGGTTGAACGAGACCCTGAAGCTCCACTTCTGCCACTCAACCAGTGACTCGTCTGTGACGCTGAAGGAAGGCCCCTCTGGCTGTGTGATATTGATGGGTTTCACGTCTTGTCGAAGACCGCCTTGCAGTAGCTCGGGAACATATTCTGCACCTTCGCAGTGGTCCAGAACGCGCTCGGAGTGTGTCTGGCCTGTGAGGCTATCGCCCTTGCCACCAGTGGCTAGACGATCAACGCGGATGATCTTTCTTGTTTGTGCATCCATAACAGGAATTAGTGGTAAGGGGTAGGCGTAGAAGTTTGAGTCGGCGTTCCCGTTCCTCATGTCCTGGGCGAAGCATAGTCCTTGGAAGTATCTTCGGTTCTCGGCACCAATATCAAGACCACCGTATGGCCTATGATCGTTAGTAACGTGGTCTACTGAAGTCCACATAGGTACCTACCAAGGCTCAACGACCAACTCAAACCCATCAGGCAGCTTGATCTCAGCCATAGCTTCCTTGAACATATCACTCTCCTCACACGCTTTGACAAGGTGTTGGAACTCCCACAAGGTCAACGCAGCCTGCTTCTCCTTTCCCACAATCTCGTGCCGGACTCTCTTCCTCTGCTCCACATCAATAACAGACTCGTGGTACTCTGGTATCTTGTCTGAGCCGATGACGTCGTACTGGCACTTTGCCAACCGCGGTGGCCGCTTGGAAGCCGGTGACTGTCCTGGCTTTGCTGCATGTTCGAGCTCAAGGTACTGTTTCATGAGCTCCTTTGCTGGTTCTTGGAGGAAGATCTCTCGAAAGTCGACAACGCAGTCTTTGTGGAGGGAGAGGACGGTGTCACGCGCAACGCGTGTCTCCTCTATGCTGAGGATACTGAACGGGTGAGGTGCCATGGTGTAGTATATGCTTGAAGGAAGGAAGGCGGTATGATATTGTCTTCACCCGGAGCTGTGTGGCGTAGATGGAGTGGAAGAGAAGTCGTCAAGTCGGGAGGGACACAATCCAATTTATCTACAGACGTACATATTCTGCCG